GCAAGACATTAAATTGATGATATTTTAATATTAAGAACCGTTTATCTGTATTCTATAGTATTGTTAGGTTAGTTCTTCTGGCTACTTGTAATTTTTACTTAACTCTCTCATATGCAACCTTTAACTCATTTGTTTACATTCTGATAAAAAAAACTACTATTCAAGGAAATAAAGGAGATCAATTCTCACAGCATCTGCCAGCATTATGATTACAGTTCTATCAACAGAGCTGTAATAAGTCTGGTTTCAAAGAATTTAAATGTAGTTGTTAGTGAGGTTAGAAGTTTCGTGTAAAAATTGCATAATAACAAAATACCAGTAAAAATTCCTAAATTATATTATAGCAGTCCTTCTCAATATGTCATTTTAACACTTTAAATATTATTTACTGATAAGTTATGAATATTTAAATTTTTATAGATCTGTGCTAATATTCCATCTTATGGTGCCACACTAAACTCTACATTCCATGAGAGTAGCAGTCAGCTGAACTGTCTATATAGGAAGTGTCCAACATACTTGTATTAAATGCAGGAATAAAGAAATTACTTCTGTGGCATTTGTCTAGTATTAGTGTCTAGTATTAGTCACACTATTAATTTTTTCCTATATCAACTGATAAGAGTGACAATTGACTGGAAGGAAAAAATAAAACTTGGACATTTCTCATCCTTCCTTATTGCCTAATACAATACCCTTACTTGTGATGTTTAATTAGCAATGCTTCTGAAATAATAAAGCTAGGAGAAAAAAGGAAGGTATGAATAACAAATTATGTTATTCTTCATTTTAAGGCAAACACACTAAAAAAATAACTTTGACAAAAGAGACAGATATACAGAATGTTTTTAACTACTAACGACATAGATTCTCTTGCAAATTGTTCTTATTGTGATTTACTTTAAAGAGTGAGAGTTTTCAGTAATCACTGAAGAAAAAGCCAGTAGTTATTTTGGCATTTTCATATATTGGAAAACACATTTATGTAATCAGATAATCCTCCAACAGAATTTGGGAGAAAAAATTAACAAGTGTTTGTCAGCATGTGTATTAGTTTCCTGTTGCTCCTGTAACAAAATTACCAAAAACTGTGCAGCTTAAAACACCACAAATTATTTTATGGTTCAGAACATCAAAATCAGTTTTACTGAGCTGAAGTAAAGGCATCCTCAGGCTGGTTCCTTCTGGAGGCTCTGAGGAGAGAGTACATTTTCTCGTTTTTTTCAGCTTCTAGAGGCCACCTGCATTCCAAGACTTATGGCCTCTAACTCTTACCATCCAACTTCATACTGTCTTCACAGAATTCACTACTACGGACTCTGACCCTCTGGCCTCCCTGTTATAAGGATCATTGTGATTATATGAGGCCCACTCAGATAACCAGGAGAATCTCCCTCATCTCAAGATCCTTAATTATATCACGTGCACAGTCTTTTTTACTGTGTAAAATGACATCACAGGTTCCCCAAACTGGGCAAGGACATCTTTAGGGGACCATTACATAGCCTACCACAGGGTACATACCCTGAAAATAAATAATATGAGAAAAAATAAACATAAAACCATTTTAAGGCTTGTGTATCTAAGATACAAAATAGAAAAAAACAAACAATAGGGACAAATACAGGGAGGGGCAAAAGTAGGTTTATAGTTGTTTGCAAGGAAAATAATGCAATAATTAATAAGTAATAATACAAGAAAAACTCTGTGTTTCATGTACTCACAACTGTAAATCAACTTTTGCCCCACCCTGTCTAATATTTTTCCATAATAAATGAAATAATGCTGGAAAGTTAATAACAAAAGTAACGAAATACAAGGAATAATACAACTAAGATAAATTTTAAGGAAATCAATTGTAAAAGAAATAATATCTGAGGAGGATCCAATGTATGGCATCGCAACTACAGTTGATAATACTGAATTGTACAATTGAAATTTGCTGAGGAGTAGAACTTAAATGATATCATATATATATGTATGTACGTATATGAGGTGATGGAGGTGTTGATTTAATGTGGGGAGGAATCCTTTCACAATGTAGATGTACATCAAAACATCATGTACACTTTAAATATCTTATAATAATTTTATTTGTCAGCTATACTTCAAAAAGTCTGTAAAAAAAAATCAGTAAGCTTACCCTAGGTGATTGGAAGGAAAAAGAATATCCTCTTATAATATAACTCTTATCCATTCATGTATACCTTTTTAGTTACTCTCCTAAGTCATCTCTGTTGACAAGTGTTTGTAGCTGGTCATGAAGTTTTACCTTAGATCCACTTTTTTTCTTCTTAGAAGATATCTTAATGTTAACTAATAGCTATATAATAGCTTATGACTTTCCTAACTATTAAGCAACAAATGTCAGGCCATTTGTTTTTAAAAGTTTGACCAAACCTGTAAAATATGACAGCCTCAAAAAACATCTCTATACAACAGTTTTGTAGGGATGCATGAAATAAACATTGCTAAAAGCAAAAAATAATAATTATGGTAAAATAAGTCTACTTGATAAGGATAGCTCTCATTCTGAACCTTCAGACTGTGTCTGCACAGCACAAATTAAATGGCCGATTGGTTTTCTTCTAGATTATTTCAGCAAAAGGAACGGCAAATACAAATAATTTTGTGCTATGGATAAAGCTCTCCAAAATTTCCAAAATTAACACTCTACAATAATAACATTATTCAGTCTGTTATTTAACCAAACAAATGTTCAACATGGATCTATTGTTTAAAAATTTTCTGACAATTGTTTTATGGCTATTTTGACTCACTTTGCGCTTGGAAAATAGAAGAATTTATCTGTCCAACTATTCAATCAACATTAGCTAGTATAAGAAATTTTTTTAAATTTATGTGTTCACTACTTATTGAGTGCCTATTGTCCTCTGTATCTTATGGAAAATTAAATATAATACATTATTTCTGACATGAAGGGTTTTATAGTCCATTAGAGAATAAAAAAATACACAAAAAAGGAAGCTATGAGGTTTCATTAACAAATAAATGATAGAAATGAAAGACGTGGATTGAAAAGAGGGCACAAAGTGAGTCAGAGTGGCCATAAAAGGCTCTCATTTGAAGATAGATGAAGATCAGGGAAAAATAGTAGGGACAAAACTCCCTATGGGAACTGGTTGAATCTTGTCCCAGCAATAAGTATTTTGGGGTAGCTACTGTGATGAGTCTGTGCAGAGCAAAAAATGAAATATGTTAGAAATTATGAAATATTTTATTATAATCCTCAAGCAATCTGTGAAAAAATTGTCCCTTTTCTTCTAACATTCCTTTCTCCCAGATGTTTTCAACTTGATCTACTGATGGGACCTAGAGAAGTTTAGGTGTCTGATATTTGGAAGGCATTCCGTACTTATTAAATAACAGACACATTAATGGTACATACTAACTTATGACACCTGTGGCCTTTATGCAAATGAGAAAAATATCCTTGCATTAGTTGTCCTCAAATGCAAAAGAAAGTTGGGGATTTTTCCTGGGGGCTATAACATCTTGATAGTGGTGTTTTAGGGTGAGTGTAGTGGTGCCATGAAACATAAAACAGTGTTCAGAGTACAGCTTAGAGACCAAATAGCTCCCCTTAAAATTTCACTGTGAGAAAATGACATCTCTTACTCTTGCAAAGTGAAGTGCTTTGATAGACTAATCATATTTTCAATTAATGAGTGCTATACTTGTCTCCTGAGTGATATATGGTATCTATGTTATATTTCAGAGCTGTATTCTACTGATCTGTACTGTATGTCTGTCATTTAGGTAAACTAAAACGTCACTGAAAGTGAATTTTGAACTTGTTCCCAAAATCTTCTTTTAAAGAATTCTTTACAAATATTTACAGATTGTCTAAGAAAATCAATTACTCAGGGGCTAAATACGTGCTTCTATAAAAATGAAGAAATGGCATTCTCATCACAATTAGAGATTAAAAATGGGCGTTATAATGTAAATGCAATATGCAACTGCTTTTGTAACACTCTAAACTGCTACTAGGAATAAAGTAATAGTGTCAATTATTCTTTCTCTAGCCTGAGATAGTCCCTGAATAATTATACTGTGCTCTGACCATTATTACTAGGTTTTCAATACACACCTTATAAATATAAGTATCTAAAAATACCCCACAAAGAACCTGGGGAAAAAGGGCACAAATCTATATTCTAGATTATCAAAAAGCAGGTAGACCTTACTGGATGTGTTTTGAGAAGCTGAGGGGTAATGACATCATACATCACTCAGAAAATCTAACCATACTATATAGTTGTTCTTGTCCCTAAATGCAATTCATAGGGGATAGCAGTTAGTCCCGAAATCTTTTTCTGTTCCTTCAAGACAGGATCCTGCACGTCCCTCCTTCCCACTCTTCCTTTGCCTTTCCTTGCTCTTTCCCCAGATTACATAATCTTGTCAGGGAGCTCCATAACCATATTTTATAAAAACCAGTATTGCTTTTTACAATTCTCTGCTCCACACATCACAAAATTAGCACGACAGAAAAAACAAAGATTCTCCACAGGAATTTGGAAGGAAAAAAAAACCTGTCAACAGTTAAATTGTTTGAATGCTCATACATATTAGCATATGGGGGGGGGGG